GGAGCGTCCGCGGCTCCGCCAGGTGGGTGCACCCCAGCGAGAGCTGTGGTACTCGAGGTCCCTGGGAGTGCCCGAGCGCCTGTGAGCGGAGGCTGCAGGAGGGCATGGGCTGCCGTGTGCCTGTAGCTCACCCCCAGCGGGCTCCCCCTGCCCGTGGGTGGGCCGGGGCTGAGGATGTTCTTGTACTGAGCTGCGCGCTCCTCCCCCCACAGATCCTCACCCAGGAGGACTGGAACGTCGTCCTCTACAACGGCATGGCCTCCACCTCCCCCTGGGCCTCCCTCTACTTTGTTGCCCTCATGACCTTCGGCAACTACGTGCTCTTCAACCTGCTGGTGGCCATCCTGGTGGAGGGCTTCCAGGCGGAGGTGACTGGGACCCTGGTGGAGGCAGCACCCCCATGGGACCTGCAGGAGACTGGGTGAGGGGAGGGGGTCTGGACGGGGGAGGGCTGCCATTCAAACATCTAGCAGGCGAGTCTCCAGAAGAGGGGGGGGGTCGCCAATGAGGTAGTGAGCTCCCCGTCACAGGAAGCATGCAAACGGAGGCAGCATCGGGGTCCCTGCGTCTCCCCCGGGGGTAAGACTAGGCCTCTCCGTCTCTGAGATGCTAAAGTCTCCAAGACCAGGGCTCTGGATCCCGCCTCCTCCATCCTCTGAGGCTTTGGGGAACGTGTAGTCAGCAGACGTGGGTTTGTGGGCTAGGTCCTCACTAGCTTCTCACTTCCCTTTCCTGAGCCCCAATTTCCACATTTGTAAAACGGGGGTGGGGTGGGGGGGACCCATGAAAAAGTTCGCGAGGGAGGGAAGGGTAGAGCTGACATGCGTTCCAACGTGAGGGTCGGTCTCCCAGGGTGACGCCAATCGCTCCTACTCGGACGAGGACCAGAGTTTATCGAACACGGAGGAGTTTGACAAGCTGCAGGAGGGCCTGGACAGCCTCGGAGGTACACCTGGGGCCAGGACCCTTCCCCAGAGATCCGGGTGGGCCAAGGGCACGGCCCAGGTTCCCCTCAAACCCCGGCTCTGTGACTGCTCATTTCTGCGGTTTGTTGTTTACATTCATAATGGAAAGAAATGCTAAATCTCAAAAAGTCCGTGGCCAGCCCTAGCCGGTTTGGCTCAGTGGATAGGGTGTCGGCCTACAGACTGAAGGGTCCTGGGTTCGATTCCAGACAAGGGCACATGCCCGGGTGGGCTCGATCCCCAGTGGGGGTCATGCAGGAGGCAGCCAATGAGTGATTCTCATCATTGATGCTTCTCTCTCTCTCTCTCTCTCCCTCTCCCTTCCTCTCTGAAATCAATAAAAATATATTAAAAATAAAAAAAGTCAGTGGCCTGTTGAGAAGGGCTTTGGGCCTCAGGATGCCTGGGTTTTGGTCCTGTTTGACACCACTGGGCAGCTTGGCACAAACCTCCCGTCCACGCCATGTCCTTGGTAACCGGCTGGGCGGTCTCTGCCTTGCTTTCCACAGCGGGCACGGCAGGGAGGTTCTCATGCCGGGTGAAGCTCAATGGTTGCCCTGAACACAGAAGGCAAGGGTGTCACTTACCCAAAAATAAGCTGAGAAAATTAAAAACAAATAAACAAAAAACAAACAAACAAAAATAAGCTGAGAGCCCTGTAGGCGGGGCAGAGGGGAGGCACATGTGGTGGGGTCCAACCTGGAAGACTTCCTGGCGGAGGAGGTCTCCCAAGAAAAACTCTCCATTTCTGTTTATCATCCATGTCTGTTTCTTTGTCTCATGGCTTCTTTTGCTCTTGTTCTGGCTTTCTGTCTGCCCTTCCCCCTGTTTCCATCTCACCCCTCCAGATCCCAAGCTTTACCCAATTCCTCTGACTCCCAACGGGCACCTGGACCTCAGTCTTCCTCTGTGTGGACATCTGGGCCCCGTTGGGACCGCGGCACCTGCCCGCCTGTCGCTGCAGCCGGACCCTATGCTGGTGGCCCTGGGCTCCCGCAAGAGCAGTGTCATGTCACTGGGGAGGGTGAGCTACGACCAGCGCTCCCTGGTGAGTCCTGTGGGGGCTCTGATGGCGGCTCCCTGCTGGGTGTGCGGAGGGACCCTGGGGAGAAGCGCCTGCCAGTCCAGCTTCAAACTGGTACCAGGCCTCGGGCACCGAGTGTCCAGCCAGAACCAGGCAGGGATGATCTCTGTTGCATTTCTGGGTTCCCGGTGCCAGAGTGGGACCAGACAGCAAGGAATGAATGAATGAATGAATGAATGAGTGGAGTGGGGCCAGTGGGTCTGGTGTGGAGAATGGGGTTTTTATCTTGGCGCCAATGTGTAGGGCAGTGATGGCGAACCTTTTGAGCTCGGCGTGTCAGCATTTTGAAAATCCCTAACTTAACTCTGGTGCCGTGTCACATATAGAAATTTTTTGATATTTGCAACCATAGTAAAACAAAGACTTATATTTTTGATATTTATTTTATATATTTAAATGCCATTTAACAAAGAAAAATCAACCAAAAAAATGAGTTCGCGTCTCACCTCTGACACGCGTGTCATAGGTTCGCCATCACTGGTGTAGTAGGGTAAAGAGCTGAGCTTGGGGGGGCGGGGCAGGCAGATCCCACCAGTAAGTCACAGCCCTCTCTAAGCCTCAGTTTCCTTACCTGTAAAGAGGAAAATGGCCCTAACTTGCTGTACCTTCCTTCAAGGAAATGGGGTGGCAGGAGGAGATGAAGGCACACACACTGTGGACAAGCCCCCACGGCCATGGATGTGGGGGAGTGCGCGGTGGGTGGGGAAGAGGGCCTCTGGAGTCCAGCTGGTTCTGCCACCCACTGGCCAGGCCAGTGGCCCTTTTAGGGCCTCAGTCACAACCGTGGGGCTGACCAGCGCCCCGGCTTCTCCCAGTCCAGCTCCAGGAGCTCCTACTGTGGGCCGTGGGGCCGC